CGACCACAAACACCATCACAACCACCACAAACACCATCACCACCACAACCACAACCACCACCACAAACACCATCGCAACCACAACCACCACAAACACCATAACAACCACAACCACCATCACAACCACCACAAACACCATCACAACCACCACAAACACCACCACCACGATCACCACCACAAACACCATCACAAGCACCATCACCACCACCATCACCACCACCACCATCACAACCACCATAACCACCATCACAACCACCAAAAACACCACCACAAACACCATCACAACCACCACCACCATCACAACCACCACAAACACCACCACAAACACCATCACAACCACCACCACCACCATCGCCACCACCACAACCACCACCACAACCACCACAAACACCATCACCACCACAACCACCACCACAACCACTACAAACACCATCACAACCACCACCACCACAACCACCACCACAAACACCACCACAAACACCATCACAACCACAACCACCACAACCACCACCACAACCACCATCACCACAACCACCACAACCACTACCACAAACACCATCACAACCACAACCACCACAAACACCATCACCACAAACACCATCACCACCACCACAACCACCACCACAACCACAACTACCACCACCAAAACCACCACAAACACCATCACCACCATCACCACAACCACCATCACCACAACCACCACAAACACCATCACCACCACCACAAACACCATCACCACCACAACCACCACCACCATCACCACCACCACCACAAACACCATCACCACCACCACAACCACCACCACAAACACAACCACCACCACCACTACAACCACAAACACCATCACCACCATCACCACCACCACAAACACCATCACCACCACCACCATCACCACAACCACCACAAACATCATCACAACCACAACTACCACCACCAAAACCACCACAACCACCACAAACACCATCACCACCATCACCACAACCACCATCACCACAACCACCATCACCACCACAACCACCACCACAACCACCACCACCACAACCACCACCACAACCACCATCACCACCACCACAACCACCACCACCACAACCACCACCACCACAACCACCATCACAACCACCATCACCACCACCACCACAACCACCATCACCACCACCACCACCACAACCACCACCACAACCACCATCACCACCACAACCACCACCACAACCACCACCACCACAACCACCACCACCACATCCACAAAGACCATCACCACCACCATCACCACAACCACCACAAACACCATCACCACCATCACCACAACCACCATCACCACAACCACCATCATCACCACCACCACAACCACCACCACAACCACCACCACCACAACCACCACCATCACAACCACCACCACAACCACCATCACCACAACCACCATCACCACCATCACCACAACCACCACAACCACCACAACCACCACCACAACCACCACCACCACCACAACCACCACCATCACAACCACCACCACAACCACCATCACCACCACAACCACCATCACCACCATCACCACAACCACCACAACCACCACCACAACCACCACCACAACCACCACCACAACCACCACAACCACCACCACCATCACAACCACCACCACAACCACCATCACCACCACCACAACCACCATCACCACAACCACCACCACAACCACCATCACCACCACCACCACAACCACCATCACCATCACCACCACCACAACCACCATCACCACAACCACCACCACAACCACCATCACCACCACCACAACCACCATCACCATCACAGGGAGGGAATGACCGTGGCTGAGAAGACCTGAAGCTTAGTGCGGAGCGACAGACCAGGTAGCTTCCACACAGCATTACGCAACGGACGAAAAGATATTGCCGCTCGACTGATTCGGAGTGAGACCTCTGCTGTTAAACTGGAGCCGGTCATAAGCACACTTCCCAGGTATGGGAAACTCTCCACTCTCTCCACAAGTGCCCCATCACCGATTGGGAGTTGTGGGGGTGGAGTGTCCGATGGTACAAAATACCCAGGCAGGTGCTTAGTTTTGGTGGGGCTGATGGTAAGGCCCCATCTCTTAGTGGCACGCTCCAGTCTCAGCAGCAGCATCTCCAACTCCTCCTCTGAATGAGCAGCTATTACTAAATCATCAGCATACATAACGTGCTTGAGCAATAGGGAGCCATCCCTTGACCGCACCCGGGCATCGATCAGCCTCCCATTATATCTGTACCATATGGAGATTCCCCCGGTACAGCTATTGAAGGCTTCACAAACTACGTGGTCGAAATAGATGTTAAATAATGTGGGAGCCAGAGGACATCCCTGTCGCACCCCAAGGTGTACAGGGAAAGGCTCGGACTCCCGGCCACGTAGTTTTACCCGGGCCCGCTCACCATCATGAAGGTCCTTAATGATCGTGAGCAGAGGGTCAGGTACTCCAAAAGCATGAAGAACAACCCAGAGCCCAGGCCTATTGATGGTATCATAAAGCAGAGATGTAGCTCTTGCTGGAATTCCCTACACCTCTGCTGTAGCAGACGGACAGAAAACATGGCATCTGTGCAGGACCGCCCTTTCCTGAAACCGCATTGGGGCTCCGCAAGCCTCTCCTCAGCGTGCCTGGCAAGGCGATGTTGAATAATCCTTGCCAGGACCTTTCCCGGCACACTGAGGAGTGAGATGCCCCTGTAGTTGTTACAGTCTGTGCGGTCCCCCTTCTTAAAGAGGGGGACCACCAGGGCATCCTTCCAATCCTGCGGAACCCGTCCAGTGGTCCAGACTGTTTTTATGATGTCATATAGGGCAGTCTGTGCACAAACTCCACCCTCCCTCAGCATTTCGCTTGGGAGATCATCTCTGCCTGGTGCCTTTCCTGGTCTCAGACTCCGGATCGCCCTCAGTACTTACTCAACAGATGGCACTTCAGCCAGCCACTCACAGGGGGTGACTTCTTCCAATATTTGAGGCACCGCAGCCTCAGCAGGGTCATCAGCACTTTATGCCACGATGTTTTCCTGGCTGAGGGATTTTCCCTCCTCCAGGACCTCACAGAAATGCTCAGCAAATCTGCAAACCTGTTCCTGGGGGTCGGAGATTGGATCACAATTTTTTCCCCTAATGATGGTAATAGGTGTGGTGCTGCAGGTTACTTTTTTGATGGAGTTAAATAGAGATTTGTGATCGCAGGCCATTGAGGCAAACTCCATCTCCTCAGCAACCCGCGACCACCACCCATCCTTGCAGCGCATCACGGCTCTCCGAACCTCCGAGCGAAGGCTGCGGAAAGCCTCCTCATTCTCTGACGTGGGATGCTGTAGACGATGAGAGTGGGCCTGTCGCTTTTACTCAGCCAGCCTGAACAACTCCTCTGTCAGCCAGGGTCTCTGAGGAGGTCTGGACCGTGTACCCAAAGCAGCCATTGCAGCTGCCTGAGTCACAGTCCTAAATCTCACCCATTTACCCTCGACATCTGGAGGAGTGGGGGACGATGCCAACCCCAGTCACAAGCGATGATGAAATTCTCGCTTGCAACTTCATCAGCTAGCTGAGACCAGGCCACCTGAGGTTGCAATGGGGTCCTGGGTGTACACCCACCACCTGAGTGGAAGAATGGCAGGCACATCTTACAGACAACAAGTCGATGGTCAGAGGGCAGATCAGCTCCACGGTAGGTCCTGGTGTCAAGGACATGGGCTCGCATCCGCTGTTCCGTCACTATGTAGTCCAGCAGATGTTCTTGCTTGGACCCGGCATGCATCCATGATGTGGTGTGAATGCGCCGATGCCGGAACAGCGTGTTGGTAATTACAAGCCCATGGGCTGCACAAAAATGTAGCAGCCTCCTACCGTTGTTATTGAGCTGATCTGGCCCATGCCTTCCATTCACTGCAGACCAGGTGCCAGCATCATGACCAACTCGGTCATTGAAGTCACCCAACATGATGACTCTATCCTGAGGGGTCACTTTAGCCAGCACCTGTAACAGGAGGTCATAGAAGGCATCTGACTCATCGGCTTTGCCTGCATCCCTCCACGGATGTTCGTCTTCGGTGGGGGCGTAAGTATCCACGACCACCACTCCTCGCCTCCGGTTGATGGGAAGGCGAGCCCAAAGTAGCCTGGGGCTTACAGCTTCCCACACCTCACCCTCCACGCTCCCACGCCCCCTTCATTCTTTTATTCAAAGGAAGAGCCACACCCTGTTGTTTGGCAGTCTGCTGCCCCGAGAAGAGGACTGTCCACCCCTCATGGTGGCAGGAGCCAGAACCGGTCCACCGGACCTCCTGAATGCCACAGAGATCCAGGCGGTACCGGTCCAGCTCCCGACAGAGGAGTGGCAGCCTCTCCTCCACAGTGAGCGTTCGAACATTCCACGTGGCCACACTCAGTAGTTTTTTGTTGCCAAATGGGGTTTGGCCAGGAGACGTCACAGACGCCTGTCCCCCCCGGGGTCTCCGGCACAAGCTTATTAGTTACATTTTTCAGTCGTGGTTTTGTGGTAGATAATTGAAGGTGGAGGGGTTACCAGCCCCTCGCACCCGTCCAGAGCCCCCATTTGGCCACTCACCCACCCACCCACTCACCCACCCATCCACTCACCCACCCATCCACTCACCCACCCATCCACTCACCCACCCACCCACTGACCCAACCACTCACCCACCCACCCACTCACTCACCCACCCACTCACCCACCCACCCACTGACCCAGCCACTCACCCACCCACCAACCCACTCACCCAACCATTCACTCCCCCACCACTCACCCACCCACTCACCCACCCACTCACTCACTCCCCCACCACTCACCCACTCACTCACCCACCCACTCACCCACCCACTCACTCCCCCACCCACTCACTCCCCCACCACTCACCCACTCACTCACCCACCCACTCACCCACCCACCCACTCACTCCCCCACCACTCCCCCACCATTCACCCACCCACTCACTCACTCCCCCACCACTCACCCCAATGGTAGAGGCCATAGAATCGCTGCAGATCTCCGCAAAGTCTCTTCCCAGGACTCCGTAGTAGAGGCCGTAGAAGAGCAGAACAACGCCAAAGTCCATAGAGTCCTCTGTGCGTAACCTGCCACAGACACACACACACACAGACACACACACACACACAGACATACACACCCACACACAGACACACAGACACACACACAGACACACACACACAGATACACACACACAGACACACACACAGACACACACAGACACACACACAGACACACACACACATACACACACACACAGACACACACACACAGACGCACACACACACACAGACACACACAGACACACAGACACACACACACAGAGGTAAGAACAAAGATCCCCCATATAGCCTTAACAGACTGTAGGGGCAAGTGCTGTTAGCGAGCACCTATGAAGGCCGGAACGGCACACGAGGGGGTGGGTGGCCAGCACCACGCCTGACCGCCTTTGTCTCCCTAGTGGTGATGTTTACACACCGCACCAGGTACTCATTTGAGGCTGAGTCAACCTAGGGGAGGCCCAGGACCGGTTCAGATAATCGTCATCGGCGGTGTTGGCCGTGAGCGGGAACTTAGTGGTGACATCACTCACCAACTCACTCACTCACCAACTCACTCACTCACCCACTCACCCACTCACTAACTCACTCACCCACTCACTCACTCACTCACCCACTCACTCACCCACTCACTCACTCACCCACTCACTCACTCACCCACTCATTCACTCACTCACCCACTCACCCACTCACTCACTCACTTACTCAACCACTCACTCACTCAACGACCCACTCACTCACTCAACCACTCACTCACTCACTCAACCACTCACCTACTCACTCACCCACCCACTCACTCACTCACTCACCCACTCACTCAACCACTCAATCACTCAACGACCCACTCACTCACTCAACCACCCACTCACTCACTCAACCACCCACCCACTCACTCACCCACTCACCCACCCACACACCCACCCACCCACACACCCACTCAACCACCCACCCACTCACCCACCCACCCACCCATTCACCCACCCACCCATTTACCCACCCACCCATTTGCCCACCCACCCATTCACCCACCCACCCACCCATTCACCCACCCAGCCACCCACCCATTCACCCACCCACCCACCTATTCACCCACCCACCCATTCACCTACCCACCCATTCACCCACCCATTCACCCACCCACTCACCTACTCACTCTGCCACCCACCCACCCACTCAACCACCCACCCACTCAATCAACCACCCACCCACTCACTCACTCACCCACCCACCCACTCAACCACCCACCCACTCACTCACTCACCCACCCACCCACTCACTCACTCACCCACCCACTCACCCACCCACCCAGTTACTCACTCACCCACCCACCCACTCACTCAACCACCCACCCACTCACTCAACCACCCACCCACTTACTCACTCACCCACCCACCCACCCACTCACTCAACCACCCACCCACTTACTCACTCACCCACCCACCCACCCACTCACTCACCCACCCACCCACTCAACCACCCACCCACTCAACCACCCACCCACTCACCCACCTACTCACTCACTCACCCACTCACTCACCCACCCACCCACCCATCCATTCACCCACTCACCCCCCCACCCACTCACCCACCCACCCACCACCCACCCACCCACTCACCCACCCACCCACTCACTCACTCACCCACCCACCCACTCACTCACTCACCCACCCACTCAACCACCCACCCACTCAACCACCCACTCACTCACTCAACCACCCATTCACCCACCCACCCATTCACCCACCCACCCATTCACCCACCCACCTACTCACTCTGCCACCCACCCACCCACCCACTCAACCACCCACCCACTCAACCACCCACCCACTCAATCAACCACCCACCCACTCAATCAACCACCCACCCACTCAATCAACCACCCACCCACTCAACCACCCACCCACTCAACCACCCACCCAACCACTCACCCACTCACTCACTCACGCACCCACTCACCCACCCACCCAGTTACTCACTCACCCACCCACCCACTCACTCACTCACTCAACCACCCACCCACTCACTCAACCACCAACCACTCACTCACCCACCCACTCAACCACCCACCCACTCACCCACCCACCCACTCACCCACCCACCCAGCCACCCACTCACCCACCCACTCAACCACCCACACACTCACTCACCCACCCACTCAACCACCCACCCACTCAACCACCCACCCACTTAACCACTCACCCGCTCACTCAACCACTCAATCACTCAACGACCCACTCACTCAACCACCCACTTACTCACTCAACCACCCACCCACCCACTCACTCACCCACCCACTCAACCACCCACACACTCAACCATCCACTCACCCACCCACCCACTCACTCACCCACCCACCCACGCCACTGCAAGCACACCACCCAGTGGGTGCTGATTGTTGCTGGCTCCCCACCTGAACAGCAGGTTGAACCCGAACATGGTGAACATGACGGCGATGTAACCCACGATCCCCACGGCGTAGCTCAGCTTGTAGATGAGCAGGAACCACTTGTACACCAGGCTACACACACAGACACACACACACATAGACACACACACACAGACACACACACACATATATATACACACAAACACACACACAGACACACACACACACAGACACACACACACACAGACACACACACACAGACACACACACACACACATAGACACACACACACACACACATAGACACACACACATACACACACACATACACACACATAGACACACACACATACACACACATAGACACACACATACACACACATAGACACACACACATACACACACATAGACACACACATAGACACACACACACATACACACACACACACAGACACACGCACACACACACACATAGACACGCACACACACAGACACACACAGACACACACACACACATAGACACACACACACATAGACACACACACAGACACACACACACATAGACACACACACAGACACACACATAGACACACGCACATACACACACACAGATACACACACAGACACACACACAGACACACACACACACACAGACACACACACACACAGACACACACAAATAGACACACACAGAGACACACACAGACACACACACACACATAGACACACACAGACACACACACACAGACACACACACACACAGACACAGACACACACAGACACAGAGTGTGGTGAGCGTGAGTGGTGAGTGTAGTGAGCGTGAGTGGTGAGCGTGAGTGGTGAGCGTGGTGAGCGTGAGTGGTGAGTGTGAGTGGTGAGTGTAGTGAGCATGAGTGGTGAGCGTGGTGAGCGTGAGTGGTGAGCGTGAGTGGTGAGCGTGGTGAGCGTGAGTGGTGAGCGTGAGTGGTGAGCGTGGTGAGTGTGAGTGGTGAGCGTGAGTGGTGAGCGTGAGTGGTGAGCGTGGTGAACGTGAGCGGTGAGTGTGAGCGGTGAGTGTGAGTGGTGAGCGTGAGTGGTGAGCGTGAGTGGTGAGCGTGAGTGGTGAGCTTGGTGAGCGTGGTGAGTGTGAGTGGTGAGCGTGGTGAGTGTGGTGAGCGTGAGTGGTGAGCGTGAGTAGTGAGCGTGAGTGGTGAGCGTGAGTGGTGAGCGTGGCGAGCGTGAGTGGTGAGCGTGAGCGGTGAGTGTGAGTGGTGAGCTTGGTGAGCGTGAGTGGTGAGCGTGGTGTGAGTGGTGTAGAGCCGGTGAGCGTGAGTGGTGAGCGTGGTGAGCGTGGTGAGCGAGCGTGGTGAGCGTGTCACCGTGGTGTAGATCCGGTGAGCGTGAGTGGTGAGCGTGGTGAGTGAGCGTGGTGAGCGTGTCACCGTGGTGTAGATCCGGTGAGCGTGGTGTGAGTGTGAGTGGTGAGCGTGGTGAGTGAGCATGGTGAGCGTGGTGAGCGTGTCACCGTGGTGTAGATCCGGTGAGCGTGAGTGGTGAGCGTGGTGAGCGTGAGTGGTGAGCGTGGTGAGCGTGGTGAGCGTGGTGAGTGGTGAGCGTGGTGAGTGTGAGTGGTGAGCGTGGTGAGCGTGGTGAGTGGTGAGCGTGGTGAGCGTGGTGAGCGTGGTGAGCGTGGTGAGTGGTGAGCGTGGTGAGTGGTGAGCGTGGTGAGTGTGAGTGGTGAGCGTGGTGAGCGTGGTGAGTGTGAGTGGTGAGCGTGGTGAGTGGTGAGCGTGGTGAGCGTGGGGAGCGTGGTGAGCGTGGTGAGCGTGAGTGGTGAGCGTGGTGAGTGGTGAGCGTGGTGAGCGTGGGGAGCGTGGTGAGCGTGGTGAGTGGTGAGCGTGGTGAGTGTGAGTGGTGAGCGTGGTGAGCGTGGTGAGTGGTGAGCGTGGTGAGCGTGGTGAGCGTGGTGAGCGTGGTGAGTGGTGAGCGTGGTGAGTGAGCGTGGTGAGCGTGTCACCGTGGTGTAGATCCGGTGAGCGGTCTTCGCGTGGCACGGAACACCACCAAGGCCGTGACGGCTGAGAAGATTCCCCACATGGACAGAAACCTCCACCAGAAGAGCTTCACCGTGAAGTAAAGCGGCACCACCCACATCTGGAAGAGCGTCATCACCTGCACCGGCACGGCACCGGCGTCACCACCACCATCACCACCATCACCACCACCACCATCACCATCACCATCGGAGCCAGCGTCACCACTGTCACCACCGCCGCCGCCACCACCACTACTACCGTCACCGCCATCGGCACCATCACCGTCACCGCCATCACCACCACCACCATCACCACCATCACCATTGCCACCACCAACACCGTCACCACCACTGGCACCGCCACCACCATCACCACCACCACCATCACCACCACCAACAACACCACCACCACCGCCACCACCACCGCCACCACCGCCACCACCACCACATCACCACCACATGACCGCCACCACCACCATCACCACCACCACCACCACCACCACCGCCACCACCACCATCACCGCCACCATCATCACCACCACCATCACCACCGTCACCACCACCACATCACCACCACATCACCGCCACCACCACATCATCACCACCACCACCAGCAGCAGCAGAAGGCCTCACGTTGTAGGAGCGGGTGTGCCTCTGTTTCCACTGCACCAGCAACACCTGTGCCACGGCTAGCGTGGCCAGCAGGATGAGCACCATCTCAGCGTGCATGGCCTCGTGCCCACGGTGCTTCGCGTGCATGCGGGCATGCTCCACCCTGCGGTACACACACACACAGTGAGACACACACACAGTACACACACACAGTGAGACACACACACACACACAGTGTGACACACACACAGTGACACACACACAGTGAGACACACACACACAGTGTGACACACACACACACAGTGTGACACACACACACACACAGTACACACAGTGTGACACACACAGTGAGACACACACACACACAGTGAGACACACACACATACACAGTGACACACGCACACACACAGTGACACACACACAGTGAGACACACAGTGTGACACACACACATACACAGTGACACACAGTACACACAGTGACACACACACAGTGTGACACACAGTGACACACACACACAGTGTGACACACACACACAGTGAGACACACAGTGTGACACAGTATACACACACACAGTGAGACACACACACACAGTGAGACACACACACACACACACAGTACACACAGTGAGACACACACACATACACAGTGTGACACACAGTGTGACACACAGTATACACACACACAGTGAGACACACACACACAGTGAGACACACACACATACACAGTGACACACACACACAGTGAGACACACACACACAGTGTGACACAGTGAGACACACACACAGTGACACACACACACACACACAGTGAGACACACACACACAGTACACACAGTGAGACACACACACATACACAGTGTGACACACAGTGTGACACACAGTACACACACACAGTGAGACACACACACAGTGAGACACACACACACAGTGTGACACACACACACACACACAGTACACACAGTGTGACACACAGTGACACACACACAGTGACACACACACACAGTGAGACACACACACACACAGTACACACAGTGTGACACACACACAGTGAGACACACACACAGTGAGACACACACACACAGTGTGACACAGTGTGACACACAGTATACACACACACACACACAGTGAGACACACACACACAGTGTGACACACAGTGACACACAGTATACACACACACAGTGAGACACACACACAGTGAGACACACACACAAACAGTGTGACACACAGTGTGACACACACACAGTGAGACACAAACACAGTGTGACACACAGTATACACACACACACACAGTGAGACACACACACACACAGTGTGACACACACACAGTATACACACACAGTGAGACACACAGTGACACACACACAGTGACACACACACACACAGTGTGACACACACACACAGTACACACAGTGAGACACACAGTGACACACACACAGTGACACACACACACACACACAGTGTGACACACAGTGACACACAGTACACACACACAGTGAGACACACACACACAGTGTGACACATAGTGACACACACACAGTGAGACACACACACAGTGAGACACAGTACACACAGTGAGACACACACACAGTGACACACACACACACAGTGACACACACACACACAGTGACACACACAGTGAGACACACAGTGACACACACACAGTGTGACACACAGTGAGACACACACACAGTGAGACACACACACACAGTGTGACACACAGTGACACACAGTACACACACACACACACAGTGTGACACACACACAGTGAGACACACAGTACACACACACACAGTGTGACACACACACAGTGACACACACAGTACACACACACACAGTGACACACACACACAGTGTGACACACACACAGTACACACACACAGTGACACACACACAGTGTGACACACACACACAGTACACACACACAGTGACGCACACACACAGTGACACACACACAGTGACACACACACACACAGTGACACACACATAGTGACACACACACACAGTGACACACACAGTGTGACACACAGTACACACAGTGACACACACACACGGTCACACACACACAGTGACACACACAGTGTGACACACACACAGTGACACACACACACACAGTGACACACACACAAGTGACACACACACAGTGACACACACACAGTGACACACACACACAGTGGCACACACACACACAGTGATACACACACACAGTGACACACACACACAGTGACACACACACAGTGACACACACACACAGTGACACACACAGTGGCACACACACACAGTGACACACACACACAGTGACACACACACAGTGACACACACACAAAGTACACACATAGTGAGACACACACACAGTGTGACACAGTGACATACACAGTACACACAGTGAGACACACACACACAGTGACACACACACAGTGACACACACACAGTACACACACAGTGACACACACACGCACAGTACACACACAGTGACACACACAAACGGTGACACACACACAGTGACACACGGTGACACACACACACACACAGTGACACACACACGGTGACACACACACACACACAGTGACACACACACGGTACACACACGCACGGTACACACACGAACACGGTACACACACGCACAGTGATACACACACTGACACACACACACACACGGTACACACACACACACGGTACACACACACACGGTACACACACATACACACGGTACACACACACAGTGATACACACACAGTGACACACACACACAGTGACACACACACGGTACACACACACACACACGGTACACACACACACGGTACACACACACACACACGGTACACACACACACAGTGATACACACACACTGACACACACACACACACGGTACACACACACACGGAACACACACACACACACGGTACACACACGCACAGTGATACACACACACTGACACACACACACACACACGGTACACACACACACGGTACTCACACATACACACAGTGACACACACACACGGTACACACACACACGGTACACACACAGTGACACACACACGGTACACACACACACAGTACACACGGTACACACACACACGTACACACACGCACGGTACACACACACACACGGTATACACACACATACACACACGGTACACACACACACACACGGTACACACACACAGTGTACACACACACGGTGCACACACACACACGGTACACACACACACGGTACACACACACACACGGTACACACACACACACGGTACTCACACACACACACACACGGTACACACACACAGTACACACACACACACGGTACACACACACACACACGGTACTCACACACGGTACACACACACACACGGTACACACACACACAGTACACACACACACACACGGTACTCACACACGGTACACACACACACGGTACTCACACACGGTACACACACACACACACGGTACACACACACACACACGGTACACACACACACACACGGTACACACACACACAGTACACACACACACGGTACTCACACACGGTACACACACACACGGTACTCACACACGGTACACACACACACACACGGTACACACACACACACGGTACACACACACACGGTACACACACACACACACACGGTACACACACACACACGGTACACACACACACGGAACACACACACGGTACACACACGCACAGTGATACACACACACTGACACACACACACGGTACACACACACACGCACAGTGACACACACACACACACGGTACACACACACGGTACACACACACACGCACAGTGACACACATACATACATACACGGTACACACACACACACAGTGACACACACACACGGTACACACATCTCCCACGTGATCCTACACTGATCTCTCTCGCGTGATCCACGTTTTACCTCCATCTCTCCTCGGCGGGTAACTTCGATAGATCTTCCTACACACACAGACACAGTCGGAGACACACACACAGACACACACAGAGACACACAGACACACACAGAGACACACAGAGACACATACAGGGACACACAGAGATAGACACACACAGAGACACACAGACACACACAGAGACACACACAGAGATACACAGAGATACACACACAGAGACACACAGACACACACAGAGACAGACATAGACACACAGACACACACACACAGAGACACACAGACACACACAGAGACACACAGACACACACAGAGACACACAGAGACACATCGAGGGACACACAGAGATAGACACACACAGACAAACACAGAGACACACACAGAGACACAGTCAGAGACACACACAGAGACACACACAGAGGCAGAGACACACACAGACACACACACAGACACACACACACAGACACACACAGAGACACACAGAGACACATACAGAGACACACACAGAGACACACACAGACACACAGAGACACACACAGACACACACAGAGACATACACAGAGACATACACAGAGACAGACACACACAGACACACACAGACATAGAGACAGACACACACACAGACAGACACACACACAGACACACACAGAGACAGACACACACACAGATAAAGGTACCCCCCTGTATAGCCTGTAACAGGCTGTAGGGGCAAGTGCTGTCACTAGCAGCAGCAGCGCTACCTATGAGGGCTACCAGGCACTGTGGCTACACACACAGAGGGGGTTGTGGTGGTGTGGCCTGCACCACCACCACGCCCGGCCGCCTTTGTCTCTCCCCCAGTGCTGGCGATGTTCACTACAACACCGCACCAGGTACTGTGCCGATTTAAGGCTGAGTCGACCTACTACACACACACACGCAGACACACAGACACACACACACAGGCACACACACAGACACACACAGACACACACAGACACGCACACAGATACAAACACAGACACACACACAGGCACACACACAGACACACACACAGACACGCACAGAGATACACACACAGATACACAGACACACACACAGGCACACACACAGACACACACAGACACACACACACAGACACACACACAGACACACAGACACACACACAGACACACACACACACAGACACACACACACAGACACACACACACACCCACACACAGACACACACACAGACACACACACAGACACACACACACAGACACACACACACACACAGGCACACACACACAGACACACACAGACACTCACACACATACAGACACACAGACATACACACAGACACAACCACAGCCCTATCCACCTAACCCTGACCCCGCCATGAGGAAGGGACATTGCTCGGAACGTCTTCCGTTTCATATACAGATGTACTGTACATACAGTGCAGTGTTCATTTTAAGAGTCTGTGTGCGTGTCTGTGTGTATGTCTGTGTGTGTGTCTGTGTGTGTGTCTGTGTGTGTCTGTGTGTGTGTCTGTGTGTATGTCTGTGTGTGTCTGCATGTCTGTGTATGTGTCTGTGTGTCTGTGTGTATGTCTGTGTGTCTGTTTGTGTGTGTGGCCTTCATAGGTGCTCGCTAACAGCACTTGCCCCTACAGTCTGTTAAGGCTATATGGGGGATTTTTGTCTATTTGTGTGTGTGTATGTCTGTGTGTGTATGTCTGTATGTCTGTGTATATGTGTCTGTTTGTGTGTGTCTCTGTGTGTGTGTCTCTGTGTGTGTGTGTCTGTGTGTGTCTGTTTGTGTGTGTGTGTCTGTGTGTCATTGTGTGTCTATGTGTATGTATCTGTGTGTGTCACTGTTTGTGTGTATGTCTGTGTATGTGTCTGTTTGTGTGTATGTCTGTGTGTGTGTCTGTGTGTGTCTGTTTGTGTGTATGTCTGTGTGTGTATGTCTGTGTGTGTCTCACTGTGTGTGTGTGTCTGTGTGTATGCCTGTCTGTGTGTCACTGTGTGTGTGTCACTGTGTGAGTGTGTCACTGTGTCACTGTGTGTCACTGTGTGTGTGACACTGTGTGTGTGACTGTGTGTCACTGAGTGTGTCACTGTGTGTCACTGTGTGTGTGACACTGTGTGTGTGACTGTGTGTCACTGAGTGTGTCACTGTGTGTCACTGTGTGTGTGTCACTGTGTGAGTGTGTCACTGTGTGTCACTGTGTGTGTGTGTCACTGTGTGTGTCTGTGTGTGTGTCACTGTGTGTGTCACTGTGTGTTACTGTGTGTGTGACACTGTGTGTGTGACTGTGTGTCACTGTGTGTGTGTGTCACTGTGTGTGTGTGTCACTGTGTGTGTGACACTGTCACTGTGTGTGTGTGTCACTATGTGTCACTGAGTGTGTCACTGTGTGTGTGTGTGTGTCACTGTGTGTGTGTCACTGTGTGTGTGTGACACTGTGTCACTGTGTGTGTGTGACACTGTGTGTGTGTGTCACTGTGTGTGTGTGTCACTGAGTGTGTCACTGTGTGTGTGTCACTGTGTGTGTGACACTGTGTCACTGTGTGTGTGTCACTGTGTGTGTGTCACTGAGTGTGTCACTGTGTGTGTGTGTCACTGTGTGTGTGTCACTGTGTGTGTGTGTCACTGTGTGTGTGTGTGTCACTGTGTGAGAGTGTCACTGAGTGTGTCTCTGTGTGTGTGAGTGTGTCACTGTGAGTGTGTCACTGTGTGTGTGTGACACTGTGTCACTGTGTGTGTGACACTGTGTCACTGTGTGTGTGTGTCACTGTGTGTGTCACTGTGTGAGTGTGTCACTGTGAGTGTGTCACTGTGTGTGTGTGACACTGTGTCACTGTGTGTGTGTGTCACTGTGTGTGTGTATCACTGTGTGAGAGTGTCACTGAGTGTGTCTCTGTGAGAGTGTCACTGTATGAGTGTGTCACTGTGTGTGTGTCTGTCACTGTGTGTGTGAGTGTGTCACACTGAGTGTGTCACTGTGTGAGAGTGTCACTGTGTGTGTCACTCTGTGTTACTGTGTGTGTGTCACTGTGTGAGTGTCTTGCCAGCTCTCCCACGTCCCCTCCGATGCGCGCCTCCAGCACCGCCATGACAGCCGCTCTCCCCCTCTAACCCCGCCCCTCACCCGATAACCCCGCCCCTCACCCCCTCTAACCCCGCCCCTCACCCGATAACCCCGCCCCTCGCCCCCTTTAACTCCTCCCCTCATCCCCTCTAACTCCTCCCTTCACTCCCTCTAACTCCTCCCCTCACCCCATAACCCCGCCCCTCTCCCCCTCTAACTCCTCCCCTCATCCCCTCTAACTCCTCCCCCCACGCCCCTCTACCCCCTCCCCTCACCCCTCTCTAACCCCTCACCCCCTCTAACCCCGCCCCTCACACGTCAAACCCCCTCCCCTCAGCCCTTCTATCCCCGCCCCTCACTCCCTGTAACCCCGCCCCTCACTCCCTGTAACCCCGCCCCTCACTCCCTGTAACCCCGCCCCTCACACCATAACCCCGCCCCTCACCCCCTCTAACCACGCCCCTCACTCCTCTAACTCCTCTCCTCATCCCCCCCTCTACCCCCTCCCCTCACCCCTCTCGAACCCCTCACCCCCCTCTAACCCCGCCCCTCACCCCATAACCCCGCCCCCTTCCCCCTCAAATCCCTCCCCTCACCCCCCTCTAACCCCTCCCCTCAGCTCCTCTAACTCCGCCCCTCACCCCATAACCCCGCCCCCTTCCCCCTCAAATCCCTCCCCTCACCCCACTCTAACCCCTCACCCCCTCCTCACCCCCCTCTAACCCCTCCCCTCACCCCCTCTAACCCCGCCCCTCACCCCATAACCCCGCCCCTTTCCCCCTCAAATCCCTCCCCTCACCCCACTCTAACCCCTCCCCTCACCCCTCCACTTTCCTCCCTCAACACCTCCTCCCTACCCAAGATGGCCGCCGTTCTGGGCCTGTCTTGGTGACGTCACGCGGCGACTGCCACCTCACTGCAGGGCGTGGGTTTTTTTGGCAGTAGATGATAGACGGTAGATTATTTCCGGAAGATTTCTTCCAGAAGCGGAAGAGAGGAGTTTCAAGTGAAGTTTTTTTCATCTTCCTATGCAGGAAGAATCTTCCGGAAGGGTCTTCCAGAAGAGGAAGAGAGGAGTTTCAAGTGATGTTTTTTTTCATCTTCCCACGCAGGAAGGATCTTCCGGAAGGCTCTTCCAGAAGCGGAAGAGAGGAGTTTCAAGTGATGTTTTTTTCATCTTCCCATGCAGGAAAAATCTTCCGGAAGAGTCTTCCAGAAGCGGAAGAGAGTAGTTTCAAGTGAAGTTTTTTTCATCTTCCCATGCAGGAAGATTCTTCCGGAAGAGTCTTCCAGAAGAGGAAGAGAGGAGTTTCAAGTGAAGTTTTTTTCATCTTCCCACGCAGGAAGGATCTTCCGGAAGGCTCTTCCAGAAGCGGAAGAGAGGAGATTCAATTGATGTTTTTTTCATCTTCCTATGCAGGAAGAATCTTCCGTAAGAGTCTTCCAGAAGAGGAAGAGAGGAGTTTCAAGCGATGTTTTGTTCATCTTCCCACGCAGGAAGAATCTTCCGGAAGGGTCTCCCAGAAGAGGAAGAGAGGAGTTTCAAGTGATGTTTTTTTCATCTTCCCATGCAGGAAAAATCTTCCGGAAGATGCTTCCGATTAAAAGAGCGATTATAGCATCGTCAGATTCCTCCGGTATCAATCACGATTGTGATTGTTGTGAATCTCAACGAAACGTTGTATTAGAAAAAATTACAACGTTAATTTAAAGGTTTTTTTTATATATAAGAGACTTTCGGTAAAGTCGCGTAGAAGGGAAACAATAAAATAATAAAAATATAAAACAATAAAATTCTCACGACGTATCGACTGCATCACAAGCAATCATCATCAGGTGTGAAAACCACAACGTGACTTTACCGAAAGAACCAAGAATATGAATCCCTGCAGTCACGAAAGCCTTAAATCAAAATTTATATAAGATGCTAAAAAAATATATTGACATTGCAATAAAAATTGTGAGATAATTTTTTTTAATTAATTTGTAGATGGTCCCAAACAGGGGGATCATCAGATCGATTAAAAGAGCGATCATAGCATCGTCAGATTCCTCCGGTATCAATCACGACCGTGATTGTTGTGAATCTCAACGAAACATTGTATTAGAAGAAAAAAATGGATAACATAAATGTTAAAGTTTTATGTATATACGTAGAAATATACTCCAGCATCAATAACGTGTTTGATTGCAGTGTATCTAAAAAAAAACATTGTAATTCTTGGTTCTTAGCTCTTTCGGTAAAGTCACGTTGAAGGGAAACAATAAAATAATAAAATATATGTAAAACAATAAAAATTCTCACGACGTTTCGACCATAACGCAAACGATCGTCATCAGGTGTGTCGGTTCGCATTAATTTATTTATTTTTGAACGGTGTTTGTATTTATTTATAAAACGTTAGCACCACGCGCAGCGATTTGGCAGTTTATTTAGAAGGACGAGTCCATCTATGTTCTGAAAAGAGGAGGGGGGAGACGAAAAATTAATGCATGCTGTCTGAAAGCCACCGTAAGCGTGAACAATCAATTAAGACCCCGAAATGGTTTTTATCAAATCCTTCCAATGATTGCTAAGCCAGAATCCATCTTCTCGGTTGAAATTGTCTTTGTGCTTGTATATGTGGATAGCCTCATGAACGAATCTCTCATTGTAAGCCATCTATTGTTTCCCTTCAACGTGACTTTACCGAAAGAGCCAAGAATATGAATTACTGCAGTCACGAAAGCTTTAAATCGAAATTGTAATTCTTGGTTCTTTCGGTAAAGTCACGTAGAATGGAAACAATAAAACCAATGATTGCTTTGGTTTTCACACCTGATGATGATTGCTTGTGTTGCAGTCGAAACGTCGTGTGAGAATTTTATCGTTTTATATTTTGTATTATTTTATTGTTCCCCTTGTACGTGGTGGTGACTTTACCGAAAGAACCAAGAATAATAATTTTATTGTTTTACAATAATTTTATTGTTTTATATTTTTATTATTTTATTGTTTCCCTTCTACGCGGTGGTGACTTTACCGAAAGAACCAAGAATAATAATTTTATTGTTTTACAATAATTTTATTTCATATTCTTAGTTTTTTCGGTAAAGTCACGTTGAAGAGAAACAACAAAATAACAAAATATATATAAAACAATAAAAAATTCTCACGACGTTTCGACCATAACTCAAACGGTCATCATCAGGTGTGTCGGTTTGCATAAATTTATTTTGAAAACGGCATATTTATTTATATATATAAAAAAATAACGTTTGCGTCACGCGCAACGATGGCAGTTTGCCAGGACTAGTCCATCTATTTTTTGAAAAGAGGAGGGGGGAGACGAAATTTGTTTTTATGTATGCTGTCTGAAAGGCACTGTAAGCGTGAACAATCAATCAAGAACTGAAATGATTTATCAAATCTTTCCAATGATTGCTAAGATAGAATCCATCTTCTCGGTTGAAATTGTCTCTGTGTTTGTATATGTGGATAGCCTCATGAACGAATCTCTCATGGAAGCCAGATGGCTTACAAAGAACCTCCGTCTTGGAAAAGTCAATGTCATGTGAGCCTACTGAATTAGAACAATGATCTGCTACGGCCGAGGTGTTGGTCCTACCGTGTTTAAGGTCTGCTTTATGTTCACGAATGCGGTCCGAGATATGGCGTTTGGTTTCTCCAATGTAACTACTACCACAGAGGCAACTTAGTTTGTAGACACCAGGGTATTGTATGTCCGGAATCACATCTTTTACAGACGGAACCAGATCACGGATTTTATGTAATGTGTTGAAACGGACCTGGATCTTGTGTTTATTCAAGATTTTGGAGATCTTTTTTGTGATCCCAGCAATGTAGGGTAAAGTGATGGTTTTGAAAGGCTCCTCAAGAGGGTTCTTCTTCATGGTTTGAGTGATAGCTTTGCGGATTGTATAGTCGGAGTAACCATTAGCCCTAAGAGCTTGGTGTACGTGCTTGAGTTCACTGCTTATGTGTTCCTGGTCGGATATGCATTGGGCTCTATGATACAGAGTCTTGATGAGAGAATTCTTCTGTGATGGATGGTGGTGGGAATCCGGTTTCAGATAAGCATCCGTATGGGTAGCTTTCCTGTAGACAGAGTGGCTCATTGAACCATCAGGTCTCTTTTTAATTAGGACATCCAAAAAAGGTATCTTGCCATCTATTTCGACTTCCATGGTAAATCTGATGGCTGGGTGTATGGAATTGATGTGGTCGAAGAATTTGTCTAGAGCAGGCCGGCCATGTGGCCAGATGACAAAAGTGTCATCCACGTACCTCTTCCATAAGGTTGGGCACAGAGTGGCAGTCTGGATGGCGTCAGTCTCAAATTTCTCCATGAAAATGTTAGCTATAACTGGAGAAAGGGGGGAGCCCATTGGGGTGCCCTCAGTTTGTTTGTAGAAAGTTCCATTCCAAGTGAAGTATGTATTGGTTAAACAGTGTCTCACCAGGGGGGGTACCTCAGTGTTTAGTCCTTGATGAACCAAGTCTTCAATGATTGCAATGGTGTCAGGTACAGGAACCTTGGTGAATAAGGAAACTACATCAAAACTGACAAGCAGGTCGTCTGGGGACAGGGAAATACCCTTGATTGTTGATACCAGGTGAGTAGAATTTTGTACCGCAGAGGTGGTCTTTCCAGTGAAAGGACGCAGGATTTCAGACAAAAAACGAGCTAGTTTGTAGGTGGGGGAGCTGATAGTAGAGACTATGGGACGAAGAGGTGTATCAACTTTATGTATTTTTGGTAAGCCGTATAATCTTGGTGGCCTGGCAGCAGAAGGTTTCAACAAAAACTGTTTAGATTGATCAATTAATGCGGTTGAATCAGAAATTATTTTGTTGGTTTGTGTGACGAGGCTGTTGGTGGGATCTCTTTTTATTTTTGTATAACTACCATCGTCGAGTAATTCTTTAATTTTGTTGTTGTATTCTATTTTATCCATGATAACAGTAGCATTGCCTTTGTCAGCTGAGAGAACTACAATATCATTCCTCTTTTTTAATTTATATAATTCAAAACGCTCATCTTTGCTGAGGTTGCTAGCTGGCATCTTAGCGTTTTTGAGGGTTGCAGCGATTTCAGATCTTGCTACGTCTGCAGCGATGTGACCCAGGCCCCTGAGAGCAACGTCTACTTGGGCAATTATATCATTAACTGGTATGTGTTTAGGTGTGACTGCAAAGTTTAGACCTTTAGCTAAAACGGATTTCAGACCATCGGAAATAGAACTGTTACTGCGATTAATTACGACTTTATTAACGTCTAACTTTTTGGTGTGTGGGTCCGGTCTTTTGTTTAAGAGGAGGTTAAATTTGGAAATCAGGTTTTCCTTACATTTGGTCGACATAGTAGCAGCTGAAGAGGCAGTCATATTGTCTACATGTTCCCAATCCGGTGAGGACATTATTGCCGTCAATGATAAGTGTGATTTGTAGAGTGTCTTGTCTAACTGATCTAGTTCTGTGCGTATAAGTCTGATTTTTTCTGAGATAAGAGCTAAGCTAGTTTTGAAAAGAATTCGTTTCGCATTAGAAGAAGTTACAGTAGCAGAGGTGAGTGTAAATGCGATTGGTATTATCGCATTTACACTCACCTCTGCTACTGTAACTTCTTCTAATGCGAAACGAATTCTTTTCAAAACTAGCTTAGCTCTTATCTCAGAAAAAATCAGACTTATACGCACAGAACTAGATCAGTTAGACAAGACACTCTACAAATCACACTTATCATTGACGGCAATAATGTCCTCACCGGATTGGGAACATGTAGACAATATGACTGCCTCTTCAGCTGCTACTATGTCGACCAAATGTAAGGAAAACCTGATTTCCAAATTTAACCTCCTCTTAAACAAAAGACCGGACCCACACACCAAAAAGTTAGACGTTAATAAAGTCGTAATTAATCGCAGTAACAGTTCTATTTCCGATGGTCTGAAATCCGTTTTAGCTAAAGGTCTAAACTTTGCAGTCACACCTAAACACATACCAGTTAATGATATAATTGCCCAAGTAGACGTTGCTCTCAGGGGCCTGGGTCACATCGCTGCAGACGTAGCAAGATCTGAAATCGCTGCAACCCTCAAAAACGCTAAGATGCCAGCTAGCAACCTCAGCAAAGATGAGCGTTTTGAATTATATAAATTAAAAAAGAGGAATGATATTGTAGTTCTCTCAGCTGACAAAGGCAATGCTACTGTTATCATGGATAAAATAGAATACAACAACAAAATTAAAGAATTACTCGACGATGGTAGTTATACAAAAATAAAAAGAGATCCCACCAACAGCCTCGTCACACAAACCAACAAAATAATTTCTGATTCAACCGCATTAATTGATCAATCTAAACAGTTTTCGTTGAAACCTTCTGCTGCCAGGCCACCAAGATTATACGGCTTACCAAAAATACATAAAGTTGATACACCTCTTCGTCCCATAGTCTCTACTATCAGCTCCCCCACCTACAAACTAGCTCGTTTTTTGTCTGAAATCCTGCGTCCTTTCACTGGAAAGACCACCTCTGCGGTACAAAATTCTACTCACCTGGTATCAACAATCAAGGGTATTTCCCTGTCCCCAGACGACCTGCTTGTCAGTTTTGATGTAGTTTCCTTATTCACCAAGGTTCCTGTACCTGACACCATTGCAATCATTGAAGACTTGGTTCATCAAGGACTAAACACTGAGGTACCCCCCCTGGTGAGACACTGTTTAACCAATACATACTTCACTTGGAATGGAACTTTCTACAAACAAACTGAGGGCACCCCAATGGGCTCCCCCCTTTCTCCAGTTATAGCTAACATTTTCATGGAGAAATTTGAGACTGACGCCATCCAGACTGCCACTCTGCGCCCAACCTTATGGAAGAGGTACGTGGATGACACTTTTGTCATCTGGCCACATGGCCGGCCTGCTCTAGACAAATTCTTCGACCACATCAATTCCATACACCCAGCCATCAGATTTACCATGGAAGTCGAAATAGATGGCAAGATACCTTTTTTGGATGTCCTAATTAAAAAGAGACCTGATGGTTCAATGAGCCACTCTGTCTACAGGAAAGCTACCCATACGGATGCTTATCTGAAACCGGATTCCCACCACCATCCATCACAGAAGAATTCTCTCATCAAGACTCTGTATCATAGAGCCCAATGCATATCCGACCAGGAACACATAAGCAGTGAACTCAAGCACGTACACCAAGCTCTTAGGGCTAATGGTTACTCCGACTATACAATCCGCAAAGCTATCACTCAAACCATGAAGAAGAACCCTCTTGAGGAGCCTTTCAAAACCATCACTTTACCCTACATTGCTGGGATCACAAAAAAGATCTCCAAAATCTTGAATAAACACAAGATCCAGGTCCGTTTCAACACATTACATAAAATCCGTGATCTGGTTCCGTCTGTAAAAGATGTGATTCCGGACATACAATACCCTGGTGTCTACAAACTAAGTTGCCTCTGTGGTAGTAGTTACATTGGAGAAACCAAACGCCATATCTCGGACCGCATTCGTGAACATAAAGCAGACCTTAAACACGGTAGGACCAACACCTCGGCCGTAGCAGATCATTGTTCTAATTCAGTAGGCTCACATGCCATTGACTTTTCCAAGACGGAGGTTCTTTGTAAGCCATCTGGCTTCCATGAGAGATTCGTTCATGAGGCTATCCACATATACAAACACAGAGACAATTTCAACCGAGAAGATGGATTCTATCTTAGCAATCATTGGAAAGATTTGATAAATCATTTCAGTTCTTGATTGATTGTTCACGCTTACAGTGCCTTTCAGACAGCATACATAAAAACAAATTTCGTCTCCCCCCTCCTCTTTTCAAAAAATAGATGGACTAGTCCTGGCAAACTGCCATCGTTGCGCGTGACGCAAACGTTATTTTTTTATATATATAAATAAATATGCCGTTTTCAAAATAAATTTATGCAAACCGACACACCTGATGATGACCGTTTGAGTTATGGTCGAAACGTCGTGAGAATTTTTTATTGTTTTATATATATTTTGTTATTTTGTTGTTTCTCTTCAACGTGACTTTACCGAAAAAACTAAGAATATGAATTACTGCAGTCACGAAAGCTTTAAATCAAAAAATAATTTTATTGTTTTATATTTTGTATTATTTTAGTGTTTCCCTTCTACGCGGTGGTGACTTTACCGAAAGAACCAAGAATAATAATTTTATTGTTTTACAATAATTTTATTGTTTTATATTTTTATTATTTTATTGTTTCCCTATCTACGCGGTGGTGACTTTACCGAAAGAACCAAGAATATGAATCCCTGCAGTCACGAAAGCTTTAAATCAAAATAAAACATTGTAATAGAGAACAAATGTTAATAACGTTATTTAAAAGTTTTTTATATATATAGACACTCCAGTATCAACGACTATTATTGGAATAGATCTAACAAAATTGTTATAAAAAAAATAGTGACGTACAAATGTTTACAAAAATACAATTTAAATAAAAATAACGGGAAACGCCTGAACATAAAAAATAGTTACGTTAAAATGTTTACAAAAAATACAATTTTAATAAAAATAATGGGGAACGCCCTAACAGAAAAAATAGTTACGTTAAAATGTTTACAAAAATACAATTTAAATACAAATAATGGGAAACGCCCTAACAGAAAAAATAGTTACGTTAAAATGTTTACAAAAAATACAATTTAAATAAAAATAATGGGGAACGCCCTAACATAAAAAAATAGTTACGTTAAAATGTTTACAAAAAATACAATTTAAATGAAAATAATGGGAAACGCCCTAACAGAAAAAAATAGTGGCGTTAAAATGTTTTACAAAAAATACAATTTAAATAAAAATAATGGGAAACGCTCGAACAGAAAAAATAGTGACATTGAAATGTTTACAAAAATACTATTTAAATAAAAATAATGGGGAACGCCCGAACAGGGACTTGAACCCTGGACCCTCAGATTAAAAGTCTGATGCTCTACCGACTGAGCTATCCGGGCCCACGACGGCCCGAGGTGTCCCTATGCCTCTTATCTCCAATTCGGCCAACCCTTTCCACACGTCTTCCCGGAACGCTCACGTGTCCTGGGGAAGGGCTGTTGCCCGAAACATCTAGGCACGTGGACACATAGAGGCACACACACACAGGAAGCTCCCGCTCCCCGTGTCAGCCTCTACACAGGGCTGCTCTGTAGGGGCAAGTGGCTGTGAGTAGCAGCAGCAGCGCCTATGAAGGGGACCGGCACTGTGGCACTCCCGACCGCCTTTGTCTCCCCCACTAATGACGTAAGCGGGGGGGAGAGATGAGAGAGTTGGGGAGGGAAGGGAGTGGCTTATAACGGAAGTGGCGCGTGGTGGGCGGGGAATAGGGGGGGGCTTAAAACGGAAGTGGCGAGTGACGGTGGGGGGGGGTAAGGGGGAGGAGCGTAAACGGAAGTGGCGAGGGACGGGTGGGGGCAGTGGGGGGGACGAGCTGAGGGGGAGGGGCTTACAACGGAAGTTGCGCATGGCGGGTGGGGTGTGGTAAAAGGGGAGGGGCTTATAATGCCAGTGGCGCGTGGCGAGTTGGGGGCGGGGGGCTTTAAACGGAAGTGGCGAGTGACGGGTGGGGGGATGTAGGTGAGGGGAGGTCAAGGGGGCGGGGCTTATAACGGAAGTGACGAGTGACGTCGGCGAGAGGAACCGGAACCAGCTGCGTGCGTGGTGGAAAAAAAAAGCGCGGGAATTCCATAAAAAAAATTATCTCTCTGGGTGAGTGCTGCGATCGCTCGGGTAGGGCCATTGCCCGAAACGTCGGCTTACTTTATATATTCCGTGACCGCCCCCGCTCCCCCCGTGTTTTATTAAGACGCCGCGCACACGGGGTTGTGAATGTGTGAAAATTATCGTTAAGTTTTACCTCAGCGTTTACATTCCACCGTTGTGCAATGTTATAAAATAAACTGTGAAATATTCAGAATGCTCTTGACTCACCTCACTACTCACCACTCACTCACTACTCACCACTCACTCACTACTCACTCACTACTCACCACTCTCTCACTACTCACCTCACTACTCACCACTCTCTCTACTCACCACTCTCTCACTACTCACCATTCACTCACTACTCACCACTCTCTCACTACTCACCTCACTACTCACTCACCACTCACTACTCACTCACCACTCACTCACTACTCACCTCTCACTCACCACTCACTCACTACTCACCACTCTCTCACTACTCACCTCACTACTCACTCACCACTCACACTACTCACTCACCACTCACTCACTACTCACCACTCACTCACTACTCACCTCTCACTCACTCACTACTCACCTCACTACTCACCACTCACTCACTACTCACTCACCTCTCACTCACCACTCACTCACCACTCACTCACTACTCACCTCTCACCCTCTCACTACTCACCACTCACTCACTACTCACCACTCACTCACTCACCACTCACTCACTACTCACCACTCACTCACTACTCACTCTCTCACTACTCACCACTCACTCACTACTCACCACTCACTCTCTCACTACTCACCACTCACTACTCACCACTCACTCACCTCACCACTCACTCACTACTCACCACTCTCTCACTACTCACTCACTACTCACCACTCACTCACTACTCACCACTCACTACTCACCACTCACTACTCACCACTCACTCACCTCACCACTCACTCACTACTCACCACTCTCTCACTACTCACTCACTACTCACCACTCACTCACTACTCACCACTCACTACTCACCACTCACCACTCACTCACTACTCACCACTCACTCACCACTCACTCACTACTCACCACTCACTCACTACTCACCACTCACTCAGTACTCACCACTCACCACTCACTCACTACTCACCACTCACTCACTACTCACCACTCACTCACTACTCACCACTCACTCACTACTCACCACTCACTCACCATTCACCTCTCACTCACCTCTCACTCACCACTCACTACTCACTCACTACTCACCTCACCACTCACTACTCACTACTCACCACTCACCACTCACTCACTACTCACCACTCACTCACTACTCACCACTCACTCACTACTCACCACTCACTCACTACTCACCACTCACTACTCACCACTCACTCACCATTCACCTCTCACTCACCTCTCACTCACCACTCACTACTCACTCACTACTCACCTCACCACTCACTACTCACCACTCACCACTCACTCACTACTCACCACTCATTACTCACCACTCACTCACTACTCACCACTCATTACTCACCACTCACTACTCACCACTCACTCACTACTCACCTCTCACTCACCTCTCACTCACTACTCACTACTCACCACTCACTACTCACCTCACCACTCACTACTCACCTCACTCACTACTCACCTCTCACTCACTACTCACCTCACCACTCACTACTCACCACTCACTACTCACTCACCTCTCACCACTCACTCACCTCTCACTTACCACTCACTCACCACTCACTCACTACTCACCACTCACTCACCACTCACTCACTACTCACCACTCATTACTCACCTCTCACTCACTCCTCACCTCACTACTCACCTCTCACTACTCACCACTCACCTCTCACTCACTACTCACCACTCACTACTCACCACTCACTCACTACTCACCACTCACTCACCACTCACTACTCACTCACTACTCACCACTCACTCACTACTCACCACTCACTCACTACTCACCACTCACTCACCATTCACCTCTCACTCACCTCTCACTCACCACTCACTACTCACTCACTACTCACCTCACCACTCACTACTCACTACTCACTCACCACTCACTCACCTCTCACTCACTCCTCACCTCTCACTACTCACCACTCACCTCTCACTCACTACTCACCACTCATTACTCACCACTCACTCACTACTCACCACTCACTACTCACCACTCACTCACTACTCACCACTCACTCACCACTCACTACTCACTCACTACTCACCACTCACTCACTACTCACCACTCACTACTCACCACTCACTACTCACCACTCACTCACCATTCACCTCTCACTCACCTCTCACCACTCACTACTCACTCACTACTCACCTCACCACTCACCACTCACTACTCACCACTCACTACTCACCACTCACCACTCACTCACTACTCACCACTCACTCACCTCTCACTCACTCCTCACCTCTCACTACTCACCACTCACTCACTACTCACCACTCATTACTCACCACTCACTCACTACTCACCACTCATTACTCACCACTCACTACTCACCACTCACTCTACTCACCACTCACTCACTACTCACTACTCACCTCTCACTCACTACTTACCTCTCACTCACCTCTACTCACCTCTCATCACGTCTCACTCACGTCTCCCCTCACCGCTCCCCTCACCGCTCCCCTCACTACTCACCGCTCCTCTCACCTCTCCCCTCACCGCTCCCCTCACCGCTCCCCTCACTACTCACGTCTCCCTCACCTCTCCCCTCACCGCTCCCCTCACCTCTCCCCTCACCTCTCACCTCTCCTCTCACCGCTCCCCTCACCGCTCCCCTCACCGCTCCCCTCACCACAGGCCATGGAGATGTCAGACCTCCCCGACTGGGACTCTGACTGGGCGGTGGACGTGGACTGGGACCTCGTGGCGGAGGAGGCGACGCTGGGGGGGGTCCCCCCCCCTGCTACCGTGGGGGTCCCCCCCCCTGCTGCCGTGGGGGGTCCCCCCCCTGCCGTGGGGGGTCCCCCCCCTGCCGTGGGGGGTCCCCCCCCTGCCGTGGGGGGTCCCCCCCCTGCCGTGGACTTCCCGTTCCCCTTCGCTCCGTACGACATCCAGCGGCAGTTCATGTCGGCGCTGTACGACCTGCTGGAGTCTGGTGGCGTGGGAGTGTTCGAGAGTCCAACGGGGACGGTGAGTACTCGCTTAGTACTCACTAACTCACTTAGTACTCACTTAGACACTCGCAAAGGCAACAACAACAACCGCCATTCGCCACTAAGTGGCGGTGACATCACCTAGACGATTAAGCCAGGCCACGTGCACCCTGAGGCCACGTGAAGTGTCGAACGCCCGCTGGCACGAGGTCACGGGGCAGACCCAGGTGCCACGGGTCGACTGACTGAGATGACTGAGATGACTGGCTGATGCACCACCTGTGCCCCCTACTGTGCCAACCTTCTGTGCTTTAGCCACCCGGCGCTCCGCTCGTTGTTGTGAGCGTCGCTCCTCCGCCCTCCGTTGTTGTTGGAGGGCGACTGCCTCCAACTGCCCAGTAGCGTCCTTCACGAGCCTCCTCCACAGAGGCCGATCTTGACACCGCTGGTACCGGTCATCGGCAAGTCCACTCAGCTCCACGTCCTCCTGTACCACATCACTCCATCTCTTCTCTAGCCCGTGCCGCGCCCGTTTAGCCCCCTCGATCCGGCCGAACAAAAGCTGTTTCGGCATGTGGTGGCTGGGCATACGGGCTACATGACCCAGCCATCGTAGCCTTGCCTGCCGGAGGAGCTCACCGATGGGACCTTGCTCAGATCTTTCGAGGATTTGTGAGCTCACACAATCCAGCCTGGTTAAACCCAGGATGGATCGTAGGCAGGCCAGCCTAAATGTTTCTAACTGGCGAAGATGTTCCATTAAGCGGGTCCATGTTTCGCAAGCGTAGAGAAGGGAGGGAATGACCGTGGCCGAGAAGACCTGAAGCTTAGTGCGGAGTGACAGACCAGGTAGCTTCCACACAGCGTTACGCAACCGATGAAAAGATATTGCCGCTCGACTGATTCGGAGTGAGACCTCTGCTGTTAAACTGGAGCCGGTCATAAGCACACTGCCCAGGTATAGGAAACTCTCCACTCTCTCCACAACTGTCCCATCACCGAGCGGAAGTTGTGGGGGTGGAGTGTCCGATGGTACAAAATACCCAGGCAGGTGCTTAGTTTTGGTTGGACTGATGGTAAGGCCCCATCTCTTAGTGGCACGCTCCAGTCTCAGCAGCAGCATCTCCAACTCCTCTGAATGAGCAGCTATTACCAAATCATCGGCATACATAACGTGGTTGACCAATAGGGAGCCATCCCTTGACCGCACCCGGGCATCGATCAGCCTCCCATTATGTCTGTACCAAATGGAGATTCCCCCTGTACAGCTATTGAAGGCTTCACGAACTACGTGGTCAAAATAGATGTTAAATAATGTGGGAGCCAGAGGACATCCCTGTCGCACCCCAAGGTGTACAGGGAATGGCTCTGACTCCCGGCCACGTAGTTTTACCGGAGCCCACTCACCATCATGAAGGTCCTTAATGATCGTGAGCAGGGGGTCAGGGACTCCAAAAGCATGATGAACAACCCAGAGCCCAGGCCTACTGATGGTATCATAGGCCTTGACCAGGTCAATAAAGCAGAGATGTAGGTCTTGTTGGAATTCCCTACACCTCTGCTGTAGCAGACAGACAGAAAATATGGCATCTGTGCAGGACCGCCCTTTCCTGAAACCGCATTGGGGCTCTGCAAGCTTCTCCTCAGCGTGCCTGGCAAGGCGATGTTGAATAATCCTTGCCAGGACCTTTCCCAGCACACTGAGGAGTGAGATGCCCCTGTAGTTGTTACAGTCTGTGCGGTCCCCCTTCTTAAAGAGGGCGACCACCAGGGCATCCTTCCAATCCTGCGGAACCCGTCCAGTGGTCCAGACTGTTGTTATGATGTCATATAGGGCAGTCTGTGCACAAACGCCACCCTCCCTCAGCATTTCACTTGGGAGATCATCTCTGCCCGCTGCCTTTCCTGGTCTCAAACTCCGGATCGCCTTCAGTACTTCCTCAACAGATGTTACTTCAGCCAGCCACTAACAGGGGGTGACTTCTTCCAATATTTGAGGTACCGCAGCCTCAGCAGGGTCATCCTCACTTTGTGCCACGATGTTTTCCTGGCTGAGGGATTTTCCCTCCCCCAGGACCTCACAGAAATGCTCAGCAAATCTGCAAACCTGTTCCTGGGGGTCGGAGATTGGATCACCGTTTTTTCCCCTAATGATGTTGATAGGTGGGGCGCTGCAGGTTACTTTTTTGATGATCACGGGCCACTGAGGCAGACTCCATCTCCTCAGCAACCCGCGACCACCACCCATCCTTGCAGCGCCTCACGGCTCTCCGAACCTCCGAGCGAAGGCTGCGGTAAGCCTCATTCTCTGATGTGGGATTCTGTAGCCGATGACAGTGGGCCTGTCGCTTTTTCTCAACCATCCTGAACACCTCTGTCAGCCAGGGTCTCTGGGGAGGTCTGGACCGCGTACCCAAAGCAGCCATTGCAGCTGCATGAGTCACAGTCCTAAACCTCGCCCATTTACCCTCGACATCAGGAGGAGTGGGGGATGATGCCAACCCCAGCCGCAAGCGATGATGAAATTCTCGCTTGCAACTTTCATCAGATAACTGAGACCAGGCCACTTTAGGTTGGAATGGGGTCCTGGGTGCACACCCACCACTGGAGCGGAAGAATGGCAGGCGCATCTTACAGACGACAAGTCGATGGTCAGAGGGCAGATCAGCTCCACGGTAGGTCCTGGTGTCAAGGACATGGGCTCGCATCCGCTGGTCTGTCACTATGTAGTCCAGCAGATGTTCTTGCTTGGACCCGGCATGCATCCATGATGTTGTGTGGATGCGCCGATGCCGGAACAGCGTGTTGGTAATTACAAGCCCATGGGCTGCACAAAAATCTAGCAGCCTCCTACCGTTGTTATTGAGCTGATCTGGCCCATGCCCTCCAATCACCCCAGACCAGGTGCCAGCATCATGACCAACTCGGGCATTGAAGTCACCCAACAAGATGACTCTATCCTGAGGGGCCACTTTAGCCAGCACCTGTAACAGGAGGTCATAGATGGCATCTGACTCATCGGCTTTGCCTGCATCCCTCCACGGATGTTCATCTTAGGTGGGGGCATAAGTAACCACGACCACCACTCCTCGCCTCCGGTTGATGGGAAGGCGAGCTCAAAGTAGCCTGGGGCTTACAGCTTCCCACACCTCACCGCCACGCTCCCACGCCCCCTTCATTCTTTTGTTCAAAAGAAGAGCCACACCCTGGTGTTTGGCAGTCTCCTGCCCCGAGTAGAGGACTGTCCACCCCTCATGGTGGCAGGAGCCAGAACCGGTCCACCGGACCTCCTGAATGCCACAGAGATCCAGGTGGTACCGGTCCAGCTCCCGACAGAGGAGTGGCAGCCTCTCCTCCGCAGTGAGCGTTCGAACATTCCACGTGGCCATCCGTAGTGGCTTTTCGTTGTTTCTGGAGGAGCCCCGAGGGTAGAGATTCAATCTCCTGGCTCCGCCAATTGGGGTTTGGCCAGGAGACGTCATCGACGCCTGGCCCCCCGGGGCCTCCGGCACAAGCTTATTAGTTACATATTTCAGTCGTAGTTTAGTGGTAATTAATTGAAGGTGGAGGGGTTACCAGCCCCTCGCACCCGTCCAGAGCCCCCGTTTAGCCACTGTGGTGGACACAGACGTCATGAGGGGAGGAGCCAATCGGAATTGGCCCTCCCCCAACAGCACTGTCCACGACAGAGTTGCCCGTCTGGCACCGCGAGGAGGTAGGGGGTTGTTTTGCCGGACAGACACTCACACAGACACTCAGACACTCACACAGACACACAGATGCTCACACAGACACTCACACAGACACTCACACAGACACTCACACAGATACTCACACAGACACACACACAGACACTCACACAGACACACACACACAGACACTCACACAGACACACAGATGCTCACACAGACACTCGCACAGACACTCACACACACAGACACTCACACAGACACACACACAGACGCACAGACACACAGAAGCTCACACAGACACTCGCACAGACACACAGACACTCACACAGATACTCACACACACACTCACACAGACACACAGATGCTCACACAGACACTCGCACAGACACTCGCACAGACACAGACACACACACAGACACACACACAGACACTCACACAGATACACACAGACACTCACACAGATACTCACACAGACACACACAGACACTCGCACAGACACACACACACACAGATACTCACACAGACACACACACAGACACTCACACAGACACACACACAGATACACACAGACACTCACACAGATACTCACACAGACACACACACAGACACTCGCACAGACACATACACACACAGATACTCACACAGACACACACACAGACACTCACACAGACACACAGACAGATACACACAGACACTCACACAGATACTCACACAGACACACACAGACACTCGCACAGACACATACACACACAGATACTCACACAGACACTCACTCACCACTGATCACCAACCACTACTGCTGACCTTCATCACTGACCCCAACAACGCCCCTCCCCCCACCTGCCCTCTCCTCCCCCCACCTCCCCCTCCCCCCACTTCCCCCCACTTCCCCCCACCACCCCCCACCACCCCCCCCACCACACCCCCCACCAGGGTAAATCTCTGAGCCTGATCTGTGGCTCTCTCAAGTGGCTCAGCGACTGGGAGGAGCGCAGGCGACTCCAGCTGGAGCTGGCTCTGGCCCCGCCCACCACCACCACCTCGGCCCCGCCCACCACCACCAGCTCGGCCCCGCCCACCACCACCTTGGCCCCGCCCCCCAGGGCTCAGGCGCCTGATGATTGGGTCGCTTCGTTCGTGCGGGGCAAAGCGGAGCGCGAACGCCTGGAGACACTCAAGGTGTGGACATCGTCGTCATCGTCGTCATAGATATCATCATCATCATAGATATCATCATCATAGATATCATCATCATAGATATCATCATCATAGATATCATCATCATAGATATCATCATCATAGATATCATCATCATAGATATCATCATCATCATAGATATCATCATCATAGATATCATCATCATAGATATCATCATCATCATATATATCAGCATCATAGATATCATCATCATAGATATCATCATCATAGATATCCTCATCATAGATATCATCATCATAGATATCATCATCATAGATATCATCATCATAGATATCATCATCATATATATCATCATAGATATCATCATCATAGATATCATCATCATCATAGATATCATCATCATAGATATCATCATCATAGATATCATCATCATAGATATCATCATCATAGATATCATCATCATAGATATCATCATCATAGATATCATCATCATAGATATCATCATCATAGATATCATCATCATAGATATCATCATCATCATAGATATCATCATCATAGATATCATCATCATAGATATCATCATCATAGATATCATCATCATCATCATAGATATCATCATCATAGATATCATCATCATAGATATCATCATCATAGATATCATCATCATAGATATCATCATCATAGATATCATCATCATAGATATCATCATCATAGATATCATCATCATAGATATCATCATCATCATATATATCATCATAGATATCATCATCATAGATATCATCATCATAGATATCATCATCATCATAGATATCATCATCATAGATATCATCATCATAGATATCATCATCATATATATCATCATCATAGATATCATCATCATAGATATCATCATCATAGATATCATCATCATAGATATCATCATCATAGATATCATCATAGATATCATCATCATATATATCATCATCATAGATATCATCATCATAGATATCATCATCATCATAGATATCATCATCATAGATATCATCATCATAGATATCATCATCATAGATATCATCATCATAGATATCATCATCATAGATATCATCATCATAGATATCATCATCATCATATATATCATCATAGATATCATCATCATAGATATCATCATCATCATAGATATCATCATCATAGATATCATCATCATAGATATCATCATCATAGATATCATCATCATAGATATCATCATCATCATCATATATATCATCATAGATATCATCATCATAGATATCATCATCATAGATATCATCATCATCATAGATATCATCATCATCATAGATATCATCATCATAGATAACATCATCATAGATATCATAGATAACATCATCATAGATAACATCATCATAGATAACATCATCATAGATAACATCGTCGTCATAGATAACATCATCATCATAGATATCATCATCATAGATATCATAGATAACATCATCATAGATAACATCATCATAGATAACATCATCATAGATATCATAGATAACATCATCATAGATAACATCATCATAGATAACATCGTCGTCATAGATAACATCATCATCATAGATATCATCATCATCATAGATAACATCATCGTCGTCGTCATCGTCATCATAGATAACATCATCATCATAGATAACATCATCATAGCTAACATCATCATCATAGATAACGTCATCATCATAGATAACGTCATCATCATAGATAACATCATCATCATAGATAACATCATCATCATCATAGATAACATCATCATCATAGATAACATCATCATAGCTATCATCATCATCATAGATAACATCATCATAGATAACATCATCATCATAGATAACATCATCATCATCATAGATATCATCATCATAGATAACATAGATAACATCATCATAGATAACATCATCATAGATAACATCATCATCATAGATATCATCATCATCATAGATATCATCATCATAGATAACATCATCATAGATATCATCATCATAGCTAACATCATCATAGATAACATCATCATCATAGATAACATCATCATAGATAACATCATCATCATAGATAACATCATCATAGATAACATCATCATCATAGATAACATCATCATCATTATAGATAACATCATCATCATAGCTAACATCATCATCATAGATATCATCATCATAGATAACATCATCATCATAGATAACATCATCATAGATAACATCATCATCATAGATATCATCATCATTATAGATAACATCATCATCATAGATAACATCATCATCATAGATAACATCATCATAGATATCATAGATAACATCATCATCATAGATAACATCATCATAGATAACGTCATCATAGATAACATCATCATAGATACCATCATCATAGATATCATAATCATAGATAACATCATCATAGATATCATCATCATCATCATAGATATCATCATCATAGATAACATAGATAACATCATCATAGATAACATCATCATCATAGATAACATCATCATAGATATCATCATCATCATAGATAACATCATCATAGCTAACATCATCATCATAGATAACATCATCATAGATATCATCATCATCATAGATAACATCATCATAGCTAACCTGAATCATCATAGATAACATCATCATCATAGATAACATCATCATCATAGATATCATCATCATAGATAACATCATCATCATAGATATCATCATCATAGATATCATCATCATAGATAACATCATCATCATAGATAACATCATCATCATCATAGATATCATCATCATAGATAACATAGATAACATCATCATAGATAACATCATCATAGATAACATCATCATCATAGATATCATCATCATAGATAACATCATCATAGATATCATCATCATAGCTAACATCATCATAGATAACATCATCATCATAGATAACATCATCATAGATAACATCATCATCATAGATAACATCATCATAGATAACATCATCATCATAGATAACATCATCATCATTATAGATAACATCATCATCATAGCTAACATCATCATCATAGATATCATCATCATAGATAACATCATCATCATAGATAACATCATCATAGATAACATCATCATCATAGATATCATCATCATTATAGATAACATCATCATCATAGATAACATCATCATCATAGATAACATCATCATCATAGATAACATCATCATAGATATCATAGATAACATCATCATCATAGATAACATCATCATAGATAACGTCATCATAGATAACATCATCATAGATACCATCATCATAGATATCATAATCATAGATAACATCATCATAGATATCATCATCATAGATAACATCATCATAGATATCATCATCATCATAGCTAACATCATCATAGATAACATCATCATAGCTATCATCATCATCATAGATAACATCATCATCATTGATAACATCATCATCATAGATATCATAGATAACATCATCATAGATAACATCATCATAGATAACATCATCATAGATAACATCATCATAGATAACATCATCATAGATATCATCATCATAGATAACATCATCATAGATAACATCATCATCATAGCTACCATCATCATAGCTACCATCATCATCATAGATAACATCGTCATCATCATCATAGCTAACATCATCATCATCATAGCTAACATCATCATAGCTAACATCATCATAGATAACATCATCATAGCTAACATCATCATAGATAACATCATCATCATAGATAACATCATCATAGATAACATCATCATCATAGCTATCATCATCATAGCTAACATCATCATCATAGCTAACATCATCATAGCTAACATCATCATCATAGCTAACATCATCATAGCTAACATCATCATCATAGATAACATCATCATCATTGATAACATCATCATCATAGATATCATAGATAACATCATCATAGATAACATCATCATAGCTAACATCATCATCATAGCTAACATCATCATAGCTAACATCATCATAGCTAACATCATCATAGCTAACATCATCATCATAGCTAACATCATCATCATAGCTAACATCATCATAGCTAACATCATCATAGCTAACATCATCATCATAGCTAACATCATCATAGCTCTCATCATCATCATAGCTATCATCAACATCATCATAGCTAATATCATCATCATAGCTAACATCATCATCATAGCTAACATCATCATAGCTAACATCACCATCATAGCTAACATCATCATCATAGCTAACATCACCATCATAGCTAACATCACCATCATAGCTAACATCATCATCATCATAGCTAACATCATCATCATCATCATAGCTAACATCATCATAGCTAACATCTCGATTTAAAGCTTTCGTGACTGCAAGGATTCATCTTCTTTGGTTCTTTCGGTAAAGTCACCACGTAGAATGAGAATAAAATAATAAATTGATAAAATAAAATAACACAATAATATTCTCACGACGTTTCGGCCACAACACAAGCGGCCTTCATCAGGTGAAGGGACGAGACTGTCTGGTAGGACAGCGCTGGAGCGAACAAAGCCACGTTCAGATCACGACCTTTAAGCTGTGTGAGAAGAAACAAAGCGCCTTGACAAAGGAATTAGCATAGAATTTAGCATTGAAATGGCTCATTGAAATAGCTGAGTTAAAGTATACACATCCGCAGAGGCACCCCTTGACAAAGGAATTAGCATATAATTTAGCATTGAAATGGCTGAGTGATTAGCTTGTGACTGGTCACAGAAATGGCTAAGTTAAAGCATACACATCCACAGAGGCACCCCTTGACAAAGGAATTAGCATATAATTTAGCATTGAAATAGCTGAGTGATTAGCTTGTAACTGGTCACAGAAATAGCTATGTTTAAAGTCAGAGCATACACATTCACCGAGGCACCTAGTACAAATCAAACAGGAGAATTTAGCATTGGAATAACTAGGCGAATTTAGCATTGAAATAACTGAGTGATTAGCTAGTGACTGGTCACAGAAATGGCTATGTTGAAGTCAAGGTCTACACATCTGAGCTATTCACAGTAACT